TGCCCAACGCTGGACTCCGACCGCTCAACTTTATTTAATTGGCAGTGTATTCGAGCAACGTTCGAGGTCGCTTCTTGCACGCTCCATTCGTCGATAATAATATGTTTTTACTCTATCGAAGCTTGTATACATTAAGAAATTTAGCATCGAGCGGAACGAGAAACGAAAACAAGAAGTGGTATAGAAATGAAAGTAAATGTACGTTGGTACTAAGGCCAAGTACGGCTGTTATCAACCTCGAGGATGGTAAAACAAACATGATATGCACGAATTAAATGATAAAAAACAGAATTTGGGGCACGATGCGATCTCGAAAATTGTAATGGCGGGTCTCCTATAACGGCCTTGAATATATTTCCAACGGAGCGCGCATTTACTCGAGGCAAGCAAGCATATCTCTTGCCGGTGGTGCTATGTACCCGAGTCACGATTTATAAACAGCAGTGACGGATGAGGGCCGATCAATGACCTTTCCTGGAAATTCGTCTCCTAGTCTGCTTTCCAAGACGATACGTCGTGATAATTCCCGTGTCTGGGCTGGTGCGCGCGTGCGTACCGTGTTTGGTAAATATTACATGAAAATAAATTCCTCGTTGCGCGTGGAAAGGGAAAGTGACGCGAAGGTCGAGGTACGAATACAGGAGTAGACAGAGAGAGAGCGACAGACCTCGTGGAACGTATTTTAGGAGTCTCTGCTGAATTATCGTCGTCGTCCTTTTACCGCGATCGTGATCAGCCATCGGGGATCGTCGAAGGCTAATCGTTTAAGCAACGTTCGCGTTTCGCGTCTCTTTGTCGGTGTTTACCGTATTTATAATCGGCCAGTGTTGGTTTTGCGATCGAACCGCGTGCACAGAAATTTCGGAAGAGTCGTCGTGTTTCGTCGACAGTGTACAGTTTTAAACATTCTTATATTCTCACAAAAGACTGGTGGTCTATGATCATTTATTTGGTAAGTACGCATAATTAACATTTTTGTATATAATATTGCAGTGGTCTCCACAATTTTAAACCTGTACAAGAAAAATATACTCGGCGATGTATTTCGCTTTGGAAGCTACCGACACGAGCAACCATGTAAAAATAAAAAAGAGAAATTGTTTTCCATAATTAATGATCCTATATAGAAACATCGGATCCGTTATAATTCTTCTGCCGCGTGGGCTACGGCGACATGTCACAAATAATCATGATCGATGAATAATACAAGCAATCGAACCGCACGCAATCATCGGGCTCTATTAACTCATTCATCGTTAATCAGAAAGCGAGTCCACTGTTCATTACTATCGGGTCGATAAGTTAATAATAGGACACGTTGCTAACGATACTCGACATTCTTTTTTAAAAAATATGTACTTATCGATGCAATATATTATAAAAAGAACGTGGAAAATGAATTTTCTTTCGGTACAGCTGTTTTACAGGTGTTCAGGTTTGAACTAGGCTAACTAGGCTCGATTCTACATCGCTCGATTTTACATTCTTCCTCCAGCAAGTGTTGTAGATCATCCTCTCCTGATTAGAAACGTAGATCGTGAATGACGATTAGTCTGACGACGATTCTAATTATCAGGATTAGTTTTTGCAATCGATTAGGAAAGCAATCGGAAAGTAATCAATTAGCAATCGGGGTGTGTAGTGCGCGCGCGTGCACGCGACGTACGAATACGTCTCGCGCAGTTAGCCTCGAACGAGCAAAACAAAAGAGGCCGCGAGACAAGGATGCGTAAGGCCTTTTTTGGTGATATTCGCTGTATGTTGCTCGGCAAAACTGGTCTTCTGGTCAGGCCAGTTCCGAGCGACCGGATTTTTCAAAGGTTGCCCGCGGCCCAAACCTGTCCTATTCCCATACCGGACTGGTTTATCGACCAAACGCTCGGCTGCCTCTCTTCTGGCCGCTGCTCGATTTCTGAGCAACGCGACGGAAAAAGAGACAGCAACAGGAGGAGGAGAAGGAATTCCTGTCCTGTCGGCCTTCGGCCATCTCCGCGCTGCCGATTAACCTCCTCTCTGGAGCGAATAATTTCACCCGTTCGCCGATCATAATTAGAATTCGAAACAACAGAAACGCGACTCCCGATTGTTCGCCGATCAGACGTCCACCGGTTCTCTCGAGCTTTCCACGAACCTTAAAACGCTTTATCTGCCAAAGACGTAAACGTGTACAAGTCAGGTATACCTTTATTGGAATACGACTCTCGTTTGTCTTAATTCTTCTGCTACACCTGTTTCTCTTATCCTACTTGTTCGACTTTTTTCCCCTCGGCTACGTGTCCAAACTGTACGTGCTTTATGTTAGAAACGCATTGACGAACATCGGGAAACAACGTTACTCCGGTTTTCCGTGACACGTGTCCGTTTCTGCTCGAGCTGGAGTTCCAAACTATCGTCCCGAGCGGCGCATAGAAAACTTTGCCCGTAAAATTAAAAGTTTCCCCGAATGAGTGAATCGCAACTCTGAAAAGCTGGACCCCCATTGCTCCGGCGTTTCGAGATTCGCGCGAGCGAGGAAAGTTCTTGCTCTTGATTTATGCACAACAGCCGACTCCTTCGCGCATCCTCTTTTCGCCCAGGATCGTACAAGCTCGGGGAATTATTTTTCGTCCGGCAGGAAGTCGCGATACGATAATGCTTTCACCGAATAATATCCAACGGCGGGCAAAAAGGAGTCTCGTTTGCGGTATACGTTGCAAAACACGGACTCGATTTATGCAGCGTCGACCGACCGAGCAAGTCAGCCTCGTTTCAAAGATGCAAATTGCTCGGATGCAGAAACTGGTTGTTCCGGTACACGTCGTAGCGTAATAATAAGCTATGCTCGTTCTTGGAACGGGTACGTCTCCTCCAGGCTCCCCTCCAGATCTCGAAAATCTTTCTAAAGGTACTTACTGAATCGATTAACTCGAAAATCGTGCGCGTTTATCAATAAGGAGAATTACGAAACCGATGCCTCGAAGCATATTCATCGAAGAATTGTTGAATAAACCGATGTCATTAGGGATTACCCGAAACCGATCGTATCGCGTTTGCGTTCCAACATTCTTTTGGAAACAGGAACTGTACGTCACTTATTTATACTTATTACCCGGCGAAGGCGTTTAGCAATTATAATGCTCTTGTTTCTTCGCGGTAATTCATGAACCTAATAAATATTGAATGAATTTTCCAATTGTTTGTTTACTTCCGGGAAAAAGAATCCCAGGTTAAAATTCATCGTTGACGCTCCTTATTTTGTACTCGTTTCGCATCGCTCGCAAGGTCTTTGTTTTTGGTAGATTAACATTTATTTGTCCGTCGAAAATTCCAGGTTCCGTTAATCGAAAGACAATCTTTGACCGTAGCTCGGCATTATGGAAATTACTGTTGCAAGGCAATACACGCAGAGTGTGTACCTATGCGCGCGATAAAGACGTTTAATAATAATCTCGGGGCGATTAATTTTGATAGACGGCGGGGATACGTCGGTTCCATTCGGGTAGGAAAGCAAACGGGAACCCGATATGAGATAACCAACCTCCGTACTTGAAATAACAATAACAGATCCGAGAGCGAGTGAGAGAGAAGCTCTCGAACAACGGAGCACGGGAATAGATTTTCCGGTAGAACGAAAACTCCGTGTCTTTTTTTCGCCGTCCACGCGGCCATTTTTCCGGCACGGGAGACGCGCGCGAAATTCACTCGCGAATACGTGTGTTATTTATCGCGCGGATCCAACGCGTGCATTGTAAAGTCCGCCGACCGAGAACCGAGATAAACACGCGCGTTGCGCACGTAACAGTATAAATAACTTGCGCAAGCATTAATGAATGCTGCTTATCTGACCGAGTCCGTTAAAAAGTCACGATATGTTCGCCAGCCACTGTCGGCGTTATTATCGCGGCTCTTTTAATACACGTTCGCCAGCAAGTACACACCGAGACGCTCGTGTACGCTGGCTTTTCCACTTTGCTCGACTGTTGTCGTTTTCTCAAAGTTGTTCCTGGACAATTAACCGTCTTCGTACCCTTTTTTAAACATTCTGTGTAACGTTTCTTACAAATAATATATGAAAATAACAGTGACATCGTTTCGTTTCGTCGGAGCACAATGTCGACAACGTAAAACAAGAAACGATCGCAAACGCGTATATAATGTGACATTAGTCATAAGCCCCAAAGGCTTACCCGATTCATCACAATTTCTCAATTCCAATGTATCGCAGTGTTGTAACGATGTATGCAAATTGTGAAATTCTGAAAAAGTGGACTTTTTAATGACGAACGCGTTAACGATTTGCCGCGCTTTTTTTCGCCCAGGAATTTCGCCGGATGGAATAGCAGCGGAATCTCTCGCGTACCAAGAATACAAACGTAAGAAAAAGCGTTAAACGCAACGGAAACCGTGTGTAACGTTACTCCGGTCGAAGCGTTCGGGCGAATAGCAGCCCGGTGGAACGAAAGAACCCGATTCGCAGGAACTTGACAGTAATTATAGCGTCGGCAGTAATAGTACTTGAACGGTCTCGTTATACGCGAGATATCGGGGCCACTTCCTCGCCTACACTTTTCTTTGCAGCTGACGGGGGATTCCGATTAAACGCGGAGGGAACTCGGTCGAAGAGGAGTGGCTGCGATAAATCGATAAGAGGCGCGAAACGAAGCACCGTGAAAGCATTCGTTCTTAATCGTATCAATTTACTCGTATTTTTGCCAACTACCAATGTTATCGGTACAGCAAAAGTTGGATATATGCTTGAAAATTTCGAGCCCCGACTCCGGCAATCACGGAGGTTTTTATTACATTATATTATGAAGGGGAATTTATCCCGTAAATCAATAGAAATTAATATTCGATGAACGCGTGCAAACGGATGTACAATGGTTTTTTAAAGAGTAACCCGGAAGGCCCCCTTAATCGTCGATCGACGAACGAGTATTCGGGACGAAACGTATATGCAAGATTAAACTGTGCACGATCGAACTTTGTGCGTAACCTCGAAACTTTTGTGTGCGTTGCAGGGAGCGGCGAGAAGCGGAAGTCCGGCTGGAACGTGAACGCGAGAAAAGGGAGGCCAAGATGGAAAGAGAGAGGCTCGAGAAGCAAAGGGCCACCGAGCAGGCAGTTCACAAGCACTTTGAGGAGTCCCTCAGGCTGGCACATCAAAAGGTTAGTCAGCCTTTACTGCCTGTTTTTCTCCGGTGCGCGTGTTTTTAATGACCTTCGGCCTTCTCCGTCGGAGCAGCGTGTCCAACAGATGCTCGACAAAAATTCTCTGCCATTATGCGCCTCTTTAAATGGACGATCTGTTCTCGTCCATAGGGTGAGGGGGGCGACTGATACTTTCTTCCCTTTTGTTTCCCCGAGATCGAGAATCTCGGTTCGACCGAAATCAGACGGTGGAATACAACCTTGAGCAGAATCCCGGAAATTTGACTGCAGATAGTTGAAGGAGATAGTCGTGTCTCGGTATTTCGGATACAGACTTTTCTTTAACCTCGCGTAACTGTAATCGTTTGACGTTTACACGGTTCATCGTTTGTTCTTGACGAATAGTTTTGTCAAAAAATATTTGCAAAAACATTCGATGAAATGCGAATTAAAATAAAAACGATGTTCAAACATTTTCGAGACTCGGCTGTATTCTCTAAACGTTGACCGTCATTCCGCTTGCCTCGTATTATCGCCGCGCGTTTAGTAAAAAACCAGTGACAAATATTGAACGATGGAGCTCGATTATGCGAGGCAACGTCCAAGGGCGCCGCCTTAGAATTTCCGAGAAGCACCGACAGCCGCCTTGTTTGCACCGGCATTCCTCGGAAGTCTCTGCGGTTTTCCTAGTAACGATCTAGGAAATTGCTTCGATCGGGAACGAGAACGTTGTTCGGTAAAAAAAGAGGGCGCATTTACCTCGTTCGAAGTACAAGAATCACAAAACACACCCTGCACGCATGAAAGAGTTCAACGACACTGTCCTGCATTCAAATCGGAGCGAAACGGATTTCATTGTCACGAAATGCATTATGAAACGCTCCGAGAGGAAAGGGGGGTCGCCAGAGATTAATAACGAGGAAGCCCGAGTCACGCCCCAAAGGGAAAAACCACCCCAGCTTTCCGCCCCGTCGATCGTTGCTTTCCAATCCTTATTGAAAACGGCAGGCAAGTTTTCCCGCGAAATTGTCTCGGGGCAGAGCGTGGGCGATTCGATTAAGGTCGCTCGATGGGGATAAAATGCGTCCGAGGGTGGTCTTTCGTTTGCTTGTAGCTTACGCGATTCGATTACGGACTTGAGAACAGAAAAATACAATTTTCGAAACGAACTTTTTAACGTTTACTTTTTTCTATCCGTTTCTACGTTTATAGTTGGTCGAAATAGAATTTAATATTCTCCTTGGACAGCCTAGCATAGGTGGTTTCGCCTCAAATTAACTCTGGATGCCAACGAAAATTCATTCCCAACCCTTCGCGCGGAATAATTCGTTACATTCCCTCCACACAGGATCGAGTACTGTTTCGTTGAAAGGAAGTATTTCTCTCGCAAACCGCGGCCCCGATTCCAACGAACAGTTAGAAATTCCCTTTGTGGAATTTCGAAGGTACTTGGTGCTCGGTGTATCGCGAAAATGAGCAAATTTTCCAAAGCCCTCTTAACGTTTTGTAAAATTCGCTTTCTGCCCTTTCGATTCCCAACTATTTCAAATCTACAGAACTAATATTTGTTTTTTTTTTGTATGCGCGTCTAATGAATTTCAAAAGAAGTAAACGTTTAGCGCTAACGGGTCGGTTTCGTCTCGTAGAACGTCGACGAGGCAATTTTCTCTCTAATTTGAATAACAGACGCGGAATTGTTGGTCGTTTCGTGTAGTTCGTAGAGTTCGGACAAGTTGCTCGCGTGTAAAACACGGCGAAACGATCGTGACGGAAGGGAAAAGGAATAAATTGATAGAAGAGGAGGCCGAAGAAGCTTTGCCCGGTCCCGAGAAAAGAGGGATAATCCGAAAGCAGAGCCAGGAGAGCGAGTTCTCCCGGAGCTTGAGGGTCTTCTCGAGCGTTTCCCTGGGAGAGACGGAGGGTGGTTCCCAGAGCAGATACGGGTAGGGACACACGGGATGCTGAGAGGGGCTCCGGGCAATCAATGCATTCCAGCACCTGCCTTTTGTGCGTGTTACAGCCCTGACAGTCACCCAAAACCTGCCCCACACCTCTGTGTACTTTGCTGCCTGCCTGCCTGCCTGCCTGCCTGCCTGCTTCTCGGCCAGGGTCTCTCATTTTTCATCCGCTCGATACAAGAAATCCTGGATATCTTGCGATGAGGTTTTAAATTCGAAGCCTTGAACTCGTGACCCTCGGCTTTTCCACGACATAGGAAAAATAGAACGATTCAGATTCTGCGTTGCAACATTTTGTCGTTGAAATGTTTACCGAAATTCGTACGACGCTCCTAGCTTACCAGATACGTTATCGCGACATTATACACACTTTGGATAGATTATTCGAGTAAGCGTAACGAGAAAAAAGACATTCAGTTGGAAGCAAAAAATTGTTAGACGCAATTGGAAATTAATGGTAGACACTTGGAATTTCCGAATCAAAAAAAGGTCGTTGGTTGAGTTAATATTAAATCACGTGCACCTGAAAATCGAAATACAATATCGAAACAGTAGAGAATAATTTGTACACAAACGAAGAGAAGAATAATAAAGCTAAAACGATACCTACGAAGCAATTTCTTCATTGTTTACTATGGTTCGCGACGAAAAATAAAAGGAGAAGATAAGTATGTATCGGAAACACGTGGCGATAAGAATGGATTAATTCAAGGACAGTACAGTACAACACACGCGACGTACAACAAGCGTTACAACAAAATAAAGAGTGTAACGACGAACAAAACATTGGTATAAATTTTTTAAAAAATAGTAATTGCCGTAGATATTGGCAATTCATTTTGTGTTAAGCTAGGCCTTGGCAGCGAGGTAAAATTTAATCTCGATACACGTATAGTATTGTTCTATGCGAGTAATTATTAATCCGCAGTGTCCCGTATTACGAGCCGGTCGCATCCTGCGTATTTATTTTAATTTTTCAAAGAAACAAAGGAACAAACAGTTTCACAATACCACGAAATTATCCGAGTTTCCCTTATTGCGCAACAGAGATAATCGTTGACGCAAAGCATCTGCGTACGAATCTTATCACGGAACATGAAACGTATATCTGTTCGTCGACCGTTCCACGTAATCCATCCCTCGTGGAGTTGGGGAAATTTTATTTAAAAAAAAAAGAGGAGAGACTAATAGAGACGAGGAAACAAAACTTGCGCTCGTGGGTGTAGTTTATTGTAGCGAAATGAACGATCGGGGTCATAAAGGCGAGCAGGAAGTTGAGAATCGCTGTGAACACATTGCGGGCACGTATGGGTGCATAAACCAGAGAGGATCCTTTCACGCGAAGGCCCAGGCTGCGGCCTACCTGCCCTGCCACCCTACGAAAATGTCCTGGCAGTTGTTGGCGAGCTTTCGTCCTGTTCGGAAGTCGTGGATCGCGCGAGAACGTGACTCGCTGTTTCGATCGCCCTCGTGCGATCGCGTCCCTCGTCTCCGCGCAGATAATTCCCCGATAAAGGCTTATCGAATGTGTTTTCCATTTCGCGGCTCTGATAAAACGTAACACCGAGCGCGTCTCGACGGCTGACTCGATTATCAGCCACCCAGAGTCTTGGACAAAAAGTCGAACGATTCGGTAGCGTGGTGCGCGTGTAGAAAAATCCTAGTGTTCGTTTATTCGTTGTTCGATTGTATTTCTATCGTTCCTGGATGATTTTTTTCATTTCTTGCATCTGACATGCTTGGTGGCTGCCACGACCTTGGATTTACAAGCTGAAACGTTTCGTTTTCGTTTCCGTTATTCGAAGGTCAGTACCGACGACTCGTTAAAGTTGCTCGCGCGCTCGAGGGATCACCGATGATTTAAAAAAGCAGACTTTTTGGTTACAAAGCATATTTTGAATCGCGATTGCGCATCAAATCCGAATATATGAATTTTTACATTGGACGCGTTTGTAATCCTACGGGTAATAAACATCCAGTGAAATTATACCGCGTATGGATCGTTTAATTGGCGAAAAGCGAAGCTCAAAGATCGACGAGGGCCATGGCCTTGGAAAATTGGCAGGAAACGAAGAACGATGGTGTCGCGATAACGTCTGTTTGGCGTCGTTGATTACATTGGCGGCATCGTAGAGGGGACCGAACGATAAATTCTTTTCTTCGTCGCGTTGAAATTGCGCGGACTTTTTGCGGGACACCGGTAAAAGAAACACGTTTCTGGGACGCTTTGAAGGCTGCGATGGAAAATTCGGCCTGATTTATGCGCGCCGTCTGGCTTTGCTCGGCTCCACAGTTTCGTAAAAGCTTCCGAGAGTCCTCCGCCTCTCTCTCTTTTTCCCTGTATATTTAGTAACTTTTATTTTCGGGCACACGGAACACTTTCCGCCACTTTGACCAGATTCTCGAAACGTTATCGCTGTTTTGCTTTTTCTTTTCGTAAAAAGAAGATAGGATAGTATTGATATTACGAAGATAGGAAAATTTGTGGATGATCGGCGAATTAACCCATCGCATCGGTGAGAAAACAGAGCGCGTTCCTCGATCCAGAAACTTTCACGGTGTTTATTGTAGGAACGGAGCAACGGGTTCGGTGCACATGCACGAGGCGGCCGTTTATTTATGCGACGAGAGGCTGCGTGTGTGCGAGCGAGCGAGCGAGCGAGCGAGCGAGCGAACGTTTCCAAGCGGCATTTGCAATGCAAACCTCGACCGGCACGAAGGTCATTAATTATGCACTCCACGGTACGCAACAATAGAGCTCGACGGTGTTTCGTTTCGTGCCACGACACCCTGTCTCTCTCGATGTCGTTTCCTCGTCGATGGGTTTAAAGCATATTAAAGCTGACGCTACCGTTTCGAAAACCTTCCTACTTTTTTATTCTTTCAATTTCCTGTCTTCTCGAGTACTCTTCGTTTACGCTCGGTGGACAGAGCGCGATTACATTCCTTTACCGTTATCGCGCTCAAGATGGTAGCAAGAACCGGGCAGAATTCTTATCTCGAAAGACACACACAACTTTTAATTCCTCGCTCGTTAAAGTAAAATTAGAATTTTTAGTT